AAGAGCATGTGTCTTTAAAATCTTATTAAAATCTGAGGCTGCATTTGTGAGCAAATTTTATCTCTGTCGCTCTGAAAATGTGCTGGACAGCACAAAGTTCCCAGTCAGAAGTTTATGAAGAAGTTTACTCACATCACTCATCTGTTTTGGGTTTTCATATTTTGATATTTAATAAATGCAAAAAATCTCTGTAAGAGGATGATATGATTTGTAAAAAAATGTCCCTTTTTTTTCAGAAAACCCTACTCTCTACAAATGTGTTTACATTTTTAATCCCCAGTGTAAAGACACAAAAAAATTGTTTCAATTGTAATGTCAGAAAAACTACCTGCAGTTTAAATGTACAGAGCAGTTATTGATAAAATGCGTTAAAAGGTGAAGTTGCAGCAAAACCTGAATTGAAAAGCCTTTTGTTTTTTACACATGGGCACAAATACTATCAAGAGGTAGAGACCAGTTTTGCCACCTTTCCCTGAAGTGTGACAAATGTCCTCAGGAATCAAATCAGGGATTCTGTATGGTCTGTGTTGGTCTACTGTAATCTATTCCTACTGCCTGAGCAAACCTCAACCATAGAGAGCCATATGAGTACGTTTAGAAGACACTGACACTTTAGGAGATGCTACAAGCAGCTAGTCTGTTGTCTGTCTGTCTGTCTGTCTGTCTGTCTGTCTGTCTGTCTGTCTGTGTGTGTGTGTGTGTGTGTGTGTGTGTGTTGCCTGCAGTTGTGCGTATCTTCTCTGGCTAACTCGGTTGGCAGTGTAAAATGAGTCAGTTGCCTTTTTTAGGGGGTTTACCCGTGTTTAGAAAACCTGCTTATACCCTTTAATTTTGGTACACAAAGGGTATAATGTTGATCATAAATGCTTCTTCTTATTGTATCTTTTCTTTAACATTTTTATGAAAATTGGGACAAAACCTACGTACCATGATAACTCATCACCTTTATCACACTATTTCTGAGAAAATGTGAAGCAGAAGCTCCTCTGGAATAAATCTTTTCTCAGCGTGTAGTGCCAAGTGTGTGTGGCTGTGAGGATTTTCTGTCCTAATGCATGAAAAAAGCTGTAAAATGTTAACACACTGCCACTATAAATTTAGAGAGCATGACCCCTCTGCGGCCAAAGTACCATAAAACTCATAAAACCTGGCTTTACGGAGACCAGTCTCACTCCTGGTTCCACTGTGCCCACTTGTCCTCCCTGCTTGCACACTTCTTTGCAGCTTTCAAAACTCAGCATTTCACTTCCTGTGCTCTGTGCTGATTTAAAAGAAAAAAAAACAAACAGAAAACCAAAAAACAAACAAACAGGAAACCAAAAAAATCCTCATGGCCTTAAAAAACCGCTAGTTTACACATGGTTGCACTGCAGGTGCGCATGTAAGTCCCATAATGCAGGCAGTGAAACTAAAGACACATTCTTCATTTATGTGATGTTCATTTGTTCCTTCGCGCATGTTCATTCACGTCAAGCCGCCTGCTCACGTTATAGAGGAATCAGCTGCACAAACAGTCGGAGCAGAGGCACATCGTATCTGTGTGGTGGAGGAGCTAAAGTCTCCGAGCTGTCAGCCCGTCTTCTCCCGGCTCCATCCATACCTGATGTATGATGCAGTATTCATATTCTCGTACACAAGTGATCCTCACAAAATGAGTCTGAGCAGATGTTAGATAAAGTTCAGCTTCTCACTTTCAACAAGATGAGGTTTTTTTAATTTGATTTTCATTCCATTAAGCAACATGAGGCTTTTTAGTGTGACAGTTTAAATTACAGTTTTTATCCTTTTTCATTGATTGTTTTTGAACTGTGGGACTCTGTGCTAACAAAAATGTACTGCCTTTCCCAGCATGCATTGGGTAGTATACACCCTGGACTCATGGCCACTCTGACCTCATTCACACTCAGTGATGGTTATTTGACAACCTCACAATTATGACAAGATAACACAAAGTCGCTGTGCTCAGCCAGGAAACAGTTATAACAAATAACCACCTGGAGATAAAGAAACTATCATTTTAACATTTATTTTTGTGAGCGGATTAAAAAAAAATAAAAGGGAAATAAAGAGCAAGCCTCTCAGCCGTACGTCACTGGTTAAATAAAACTTTAAAAAATGTGTTAATTAGTGAGCTTTCGAGGCAGATATACAGCACCGTGCAAACATTCTTTCAAAAATAATACCATTAGTTTTTATTTATCAGCCCACTCTTTGCCTTTAAACCAGCACCAGTTCTCCTCAGTACACCTGCCCACAGTTAGGTAGGTACTGGGCAGGTTGTTCCAGCATCTTGGAGAACCTGCCACAGTTCTTCTGTCTCAGTGTCTTCTGCCTATTGATGTGATCTCAGGCTGACTCCATGAAGATAGTTCTGTTATGAGTCTGGCTTTGTGTTTAGGCTCGTTGTCCAGCCGTAGGACAAATTTGAGACCAATCTGATGCCTCCGTGATTATATTACATAATGGTTAACCATCTAAAGTGTCTAAAACCTTTGCACAGTTACTGTTTATCATTTTCATAATTATATTTTTATGCTTTTTATAACATTATTAGACAGCTTACAATAGAGAGATGCCAGGAAATGAGGGGCAGGAGAGATGGGGAGTGATATGTCGAAGAGTGAACAGACGTGAACCAGAGATGTTGCAGTTCATCGCCGGTGCCTTAACCACTAAACCACCAGGTGCCCCAGGGCCCATGGCAGACTTTTTAAACTTTAGACTGAGCCAAGCTGGCTGCTTCCTCTAAGAGGTTTCTGGACCCTGGGTATCCCCTCCGAGGATAAATGCAGTCCTGCCTCACTTATTGGTAGGTGTTGTTATGTTGTATGGAGCCATAACCTGCAGACACTACCCAGGGCTGAAAGAAGTAAAGAAAACAAAAAAGAAGAATAATTTAATGTTATTTTTTTTTTTACAGTGTATATTCTCTTGCTAGAATTGAACATCAATGAAAGTTTCCAGCATTTTCAGAAAACAATTTTTTTAGTAGAAATGAAAGAATAAAAAATGCGCCTGACTCTTTGAAATGACAGATTTTTAAAAAGATACAGAAAAATAATGGACTTAGTCTATAAAGGCTTTAACCTGGAACATGAAGGAAGCTGTCATTTTAGCCCCTTCAGAGAGTCTGTGCTGTTTCACAGATTAATCTATCGACAGTACAAATTGTGACTTACTGTTTATATATTCACCAACTTTAAAAAATCACCTTGCTTCAGATACAGTGAGAGGCGAGGAGCAGCCTCCTGATAGGGTGTAAGGCAGGTTATCAGCTTCGTACAGTCAACAGATAAGAAAGCTCTTCATCTTCACCTTAAGCTTTTCCAGCTGGTGTAATATTTCATCATGACACGACCTTACAGTTGAGAGTTGTCAAACACTATCTGAAAGTTCAAAACAAATGACTCTATCCCAGCATAATGAATGATGCTGCCGTGTCTTGTTTTTTCTTATTTTGTGCAGTGATTAGCCCAGAGGCCAGAGGTGGCCACAGGAAGGTGTGAGGGAAGAGGAGCAGAGAAAAAGAAAATAAAGGGAAAATGAGGAGAGAAAAAAAAGAGAGAACAATAAAAACATAGATTAAAGGCACACAGACACTGACACAGACCTCCCTCTGTATATTACATTAAGACCTAAAAGTGAATCTGAAAACGTTGCTCCCACTGACTTCAAAGAGCAGCACCTAAAACTTTAAACCCGATGGCAAATCAAAATGACTTTTAATAATATAAACTGACTTTTTTTCACTTCCAGTTATTATAATCATTGCATCACACAGAGCAGTCTCAGCAGCTCTTTATGAGGAAGCACAGCACACTCTCAGCTTTCATACTGCACAGCAGTGGTAGGCAAGCAGTGGCCTATGGGCCAAATCTGGCCCACATACTGTACATGTGTGTAGTGTAATTTTTGCAGAGTGAGAGTATTAATTTAACTGTAACTCTGTCAAGGGAGAAATCACATCTGCCCTCAGACACAATATAAAAACAAGCTTTATAAATCTGTTTTATTGTTAAAGGTCTTATATTTTACTTTAAATGTAGTTTTACTTCTCCTCTCTCAGGCCTCTCCCTGGAGCTCTAGTAACAACTGGTCAGTCAGCCAATCAGAAGACTGGCCTTCTGATTGGCTGACTGTTTTCTGACTGATCAAATGAAAATATAGCAGATTTCAGGTAAACACTCAGAGAAAAAAAATCCTGCAAGGTTGGGTGGTGGGTCCAGGTGGAGCATGGCAAAGAACAGTGACTGTTTTGTTGTGACATCACAAAGTTACAGAAGTTGTGACGGCTCATTTTAAGGCACCGTTTCTGAATATAGACTGTGAGCATTTCTCTGTGGCTCTTTGATACTTTCACAGTATTAATATAGAACCTAGACCTGCTTTATAAGCTTTTGTTTTGTCTCATTGTTCCTTTCTGGCACAAAAAAAGAAACAAAAACAAAAAAACAAGAGAAACTGAGTGTGACTGCAAGGTTCCTACTATTGAATGGATCAAGGAGAATCTCCTGCATTATAAACAAGAATTATTCAAAGAAACTCAACAACTAAAAACGCAGCCTGTGCTTGTCAAAAAGCACTGATGACTATTTTAGAAACCACGGCAGATTTATTTAATCTCTTACCTGGATGCTGTGACATTGACCTGCGGAGTCCCATATGCAAAGAATACAGTGGCTGTAATCTGTGTTAGTGAGAAAATTAAATTATTCTGTCACACTCCCTGGAGCAGAGTGTAAAGACTACAACAATGTGAAGTGATCAAGCTGACATTTTTAGTTTATATTGATAAATGATAAATGCACACCATACAGTTATGCGTGGCATGGGGTATCTACAGATCAGTTTCATCACATCCAACAGGAAAAAATGTTGTTTTTTTTTAACAATGTTAAAGCAGTTTATCAGAGTTATGAAGAGACACTGCTTCATCACTAACGGTAACAGATCCAGATGTGTTTAATGTTAATCTTGACGTCCTCTTGTTCCTCTTTCAGCGTTGTGTACTGAAGAGTGTGCCCACGGACGCTGTGTCTCTCCTGATACCTGCCAGTGTGAGCCAGGCTGGGGAGGACTGGACTGCTCCAGTGGTAAGTGCACAACGCTTCAGTCACAATCTCAACCTCAGGAACAGTGACAGGAAAACACAGGGAAAGTTTATGTAAATATAATCAGGTCACATTCTACACTACACTACCTACTATTTAAATATTACTGTGAGTTGTGAGTGCAAAGAGCTCTGCTTGCAACAGAGTCCTGCAGGGATGATATATTTTTGTAGGCCAACCTGGGAGTTAGCATCACCCTGCTTCCCTTTTTACATTGTCTTTTGGATTACTGCAGAAAGTAAACTCTGTGACAAACAACTGTTTATGATACTGGCATGATTTGTTCAGCAGGATAATCTTCACACACTTCACACTATTTTATGATTTTTGAAGCATAAGCACAATGGACAGAAGTAGAAAGCTAATGTTAAAGGCTATAAACGAACTACAGCACGGTCACACGACTTCAACGTCACCACCACTAAACTTCAACTTGTAGTTTGATTTGGCTCTTATGTCTTCTACAAAAGCCTTTCCTCTTACAAAGTCTGTAATAGTTTGTGAACACAACAAGGCTATAAAGCTGGTCTGGTGAGTAGATCGGTTTTCATGTGCAGTGTGATGACGTTTAACATCCAACCTCTGTAGTCTTGACACTTGTTAGCAACCGACCTTTTTCAAGAGACATAAAAACTTAATTAAATCACAACTGGGGTATTTACTGACGTATTTTATGTTGTAGAATAAAACGTGAAAATATATTGAGCTTGTGTTAACAACAGACATTATTTCAGCCATCTAACCAAAAGCCCATTCAAAAAACCTATACATTTGGCAAGGGAACCAGAAGTGCTAAAATGCTAACTAATTTCCGGGTTTTAGGACTCGTTCAGCAGCAGTCTTTCAATTTGTTTATGTCATGAGACTCAATCAGGATGTCTGTTGTCTTATTATTTAAGAGCTGATATAGACACACTAAAGCTGGCAAATATCGGCTGATAATATCGTCCATGTTAGTAAGATCACGTTTTTTAATGTTATATATGGCGACACCTTAAGGCAGGAACAGACATTAAGATTGTTGAGCTGATGATGAAAATGATATGAGCGTGATGACAGATGAGACCAAGCTGGACCGAATCCACTTCAGTTTACTTTTTTGGCATCGAAGGTTATAAAATCAGTTTGTTGGTGTTGTTTGTCATGTTTGCTTTATTTAGTCTTTCAGCTCGTCCTGTGGCATCAATAGTTTTTAATGATTTATGTCTGCAGCTATAGTTAGCCAAAAGTAACTGGCATACAGGAGCTCTTTGGTTCACACACACTTTTTGTACACCTGTGCACAAATCAAACCTGCAGCTGGAGCAGCATTTAATGGGTGGTGCTGACGGGGGCACAGCATAATGATCAGAGGTTGGGATTTCAAAGGGACACCAGGTCATCTGATGTTAACCTTGAGTGGTGATTAAGAAGATTTTCACAGTGGAGGTCAGTCTGCTAATTCATCTAGACACATGAAGGCAAAGTTTAATGAGTGAGTGGGACATCCTAATCTGTTTGTTTGGCTTCAGATCAAAAATGCTACACGTAGTTTAAGTTCAAGGGCACAAACTCACAGTTTTGTTCTTAAATAAAGGAAGCTCATGTCAGTGTACGCCTCAGATCAGCAGCAGCACAAACACCAGATGCTACATGACCAAAGGAAAGTGTTGACCTGCAGCCTGAGAAACCTGCTGGGTTGGTAAATTGGAAATTTGTCAGATACTGCAGGAGATCTTTACAGAGCAGGAGCAAAATCTTGAATTCAGTTCCGTAATCACACTGAACGGATTTTTAACCCCAAATTAGTCGTCGCCAACTAATTATAGAATTGGGGCTTAATTCCTGTCCGACTGGTTCTGTCCGTCTGACGTGCAGTTTGAGGGGGACATGAGTCATGGTCTGATTTTAAGCAGTCCAATCAATAAATGATCTGACCCTTGAATGATCCGTTTGATTTTCTCACATGTCAGAAACTTCGGTCGGCTCTGTTTCAGTTTGAGCAGCTCCACAGTTTGATTTCCCACCTGGCTGCTGTCAGAAGATCTCGAATGAACTCTGAGCTGTGACGGCAATAAAACTGAACTTCACTGACAGACTGTAGTGTCTGCATCTTCTCAGCCATACTCACTTCTGTGTTTTGTCTTCTTTTCTTACTCAAGTAGAATTGCATAAGTTGTTGCTGCTTTTCTCTTTTCATCAACGGTGATACCAGTCATCTTGTGTGAATAAACTTGAATAAACTTGTCTTATTTTGTGGTCACATTCGGTGTTAGCACCTACATAGTGACCAGTCGTTAGATCTGTACAGTGTGAGAATAGAAGTCGTATATTTTGGTTGTGCAAGAAAGCTGATTAAAACGTCTAGTCTGAGTCAGCATGATGCACAAGATTAATAAAACGTACCAGTGTCTGTCCAGCTTTATGAACACGTAGCCAGTGGAGATATCTGAGAATGTTTGGGTGGCTGTAATATGAATTATCTGACGCTGTTGAATGGCTTTTAGGGGAAGACCAGTAAAAAGGACATTACAGTAATGTAGTCTGCGGCGACAAGAGTCAAGTTTCCATCCAAATGTAGAACACATTTAGACTGACTTTTCCAGAGAAGCTGTACAAGAGAATGAAAATGTAAGCATGCGTGTTTGTCATCCAATGCAGATAGTAGGAGCAGGGAGCATCGAGATAAACAGATGGTGGCGTTAATTTTCCAGTCAGACCATTAAAAAAAAGGAAGATGTGTAGAAATGAGAACCATCACATTCTCATCAATTCTCCACAGAGACCTTATATTTTCATTTGCCACCATCTTTCTTTTCCTCAGCAGAGGCGTGTGTGTTGTGTCAATCACATGCATGTCACAATTTATTCACTAAGTCAGTTTCCATTGCATTTGTCACATTTGCTTTATGACCCAGCAGCTTTTCCACCTCAGCAAAAGTGTAGAAATGCAACATTTCATCTTTTTTACGCCTCAGCGCGGTCGGCAGCCACAAACCGAGGCTCTATGTTTTCAGCTCCTCCGTCCGTCCCATTCTCGTGAATGTGATATCTCAGTGACACCTTACAACGCTGTAACTCAGGACGGGGAGCTTGTGATCTTTGAACTTTGAATTTCTGGTGTTTTTTATTTTTCATGAACAAATTGAAAATGTGCATAAAAACAGGAGAACAAATCCTCCAACCTAAGTTGCTTCTCCCAGCTCATACAACCCATAGGAGCGTAGTGGCATGAGTACTGAGCCCTCATCATCACATTAACAATAAGAAACACAAGGTTAAGAAACAGTTACGGTTTGGTTACCTTTATGGATAATAACTACTTGGTTAGTTTTAGGAAAAGATTGTTGTTTGAATTAAAACAAATACTTCCTTAAGCTTAGAGGGCCGTCATCGTCATGGTTACAATAATAACCATGCAGTCAAGGTTGTGGAGCAGCTGGATAAAACAGTGATTATTGGTTTGAAATGGGAAACAAGTCCTTTGGCAAAGTCTGCAGCAGGAGAAGGTTGTCGCCTGAATTCTTCCTTTGCTCCTGTCATACTCACTACGTCTGCTACAGATCGCCTTTCAATAAAACATCACTGTGGGGCACAATAAGCTGCTGCAGACGACCTACAGGGTCGATTTTTTAGAAGAGGACAGTCTCAAACAGGTGGATAGAGACACACTTAAAGACAAGTGTGTCCACATGACTTGGAACTGATGAGATGATGGAGGACTAAATTCTGTACTGTAGCAGAGAGGATGAGCTTTTGTTTGAGGCCAGTGATTCTTGAATAATTTCTAAATTTTCAGCTCCTGAAATAGCAGTAAACTGTGAGTCATGGTTACTGATCAGCAGCTCTGTCAGACCCCACCATTTTAGACATTTAGGTCAGTGTTGTGGTACGGGACAAAAAGAACTGCCCTTAAACCTGAAATGAAGCTATTGCATTTCAATATCAGTCTCATTTTCACTGTCTGGTTCCTCTCCTCAGCTCTTCAAACTGCCTTCCCTGCTGCTGTGGGAGTTCAGTTCAGTGTCTGTGATTGGGGGGGGGTGTTTGAGGGGCTATTGACACTTAATGACTCTCACAACCCCTTTAGACCCCGTTTTATTATTGGTGCGCTCCCAGCTTCATTGTTTACCTGTTTTTATTGCTGCCCTGGGGCCAGGGGACTGGGGCCAAGCTAAGACAGGGGTTAGGTAAATCTTCCAACACTTAGGCTAAAGGGGAAGGGGAGGATGAAGTATTGACTGCACAGTAATGTCCCTGTTTAAGACAAGGAGCAGAGATAAACACAAACTGAGTTAACTGAGTTTAGTGTGTCAAGTTCACTCTGAAAGTTTGGCTGACTTTAAGTTCCTGTCTTTAATGTGCTACAGTTGTCGGCCTGTCTCTGTTCTCCCATCCGTCTTGCTATCATCAACCCCTTTTATATCTCTCTGGTTTATTTTAGTGATAAAGTAAAACTCTGTTTGCATCAGCCACAGACGCTGCCTAGCGGCTGTATGACAGGTGAACCTGAAGACAGATAAATAAAAAAACATCTTTTTTCCAATGTCCCGTCTCAGATTAATACACCACAGTGTGAAACTGAATCCTCACATCCCTACAATAGAATTTGTCATCTGCTCATTACCTGTGGAAGAATGTAATTTGCTATAAAGATGCTGCACGGTGAGACTGAATCACCCCCCCCCATGGGGATATTGAGCCTGTGCTTACATGGGCTGTGTTTTATTTCATGCACACTCTCTCCTGGTTGGTCAGAAGAAACGAATCCTGCGGTCTGTAGCATATTTAAGGTCTCACGTTGTTTTGTTTTCCAATATACTACGGCTCAGGGTGGGAGCATTGTTTTTCATGGTGTTTTGCAAATGACCATAGTTAAGTTGCAGTGGCATGCGTTGAATTAATTTAAAGGTTTAATGTCTCACAGGCAGAACAAGATCCTGCTTGGTGGACAGCACCTGCTCCTCTAATTCTACTGAGTAAAGTGGATTCTCTAATAGTTC